ACAGAAGCTGCATTAGAAGGGGCATTTAGATGCATTTACACAATGTTTAATGCGGGACATGAATGTTTTAACTTGCAGTTACAAATGCATTAATACCGTTTTGATATTTTAAACATAAAACGTTGAATACTGATATTTGGAATCATTAAAAAAAAGAAAGAAAATATTAATATATTTAAATGTGAAATTAAAACCGCCAGTAGGTGGCAGCAAGTCACTGTTAATAAGTGAGTCATTGCGACTGAACTGAATCATTTAAACGGTTGATTCATTCAGGAACGAAACACTGTCATGTTGCTCAGAAATGCAAATTGGAATTATATTTGTTGGCGAAATAGAGCAAAAACAGTCAATATTGTGTCTAAAATGTAAGTATCTTAATATTAAATGTTGTTTATTGAACTGCTGTGTAAAATCAATATCACATTTGTAATCATGTTGCTTTTTGGTGGAAAAAACGTCAGTCTTCGCGTGATACTGATTAACTATATGAAATGATATACATATATACATTTCTGCCCCTGTATCTTGAATTTTGTGATCATTCTAAATGCATTTTAATAAACTAAATCATGCAGTGAAAGAACGCGCACTGGTCTAAACTAGACTTCCTATTGCCTTAGCTAAACTTTAGCTGATTTACATGGTAGCTCTTGTGAGTCATGGATGTTAGCAAGACAATTTAACTATAATTGCCTTTTGTCTTTTGGATAATGAGCTGTAAATTTGAAGCATAGGTAGCTTAGTCTTTTGTTCATCACCAATCACCTCCACGGCAAGACAAACACAACTGGAAAGGGAGGGAGGGCTTCACTTCTGCGCTCTCTGCCTGTCTGTGATGTGCATGTGCCGATCAATGTGTGCTACACTGTTGTGCTGCACGGAGACGCGGAGGGGAGAAAGGCATCGGAACTCAAGAGAGTTTCAATATTTCCCGACCCGACCTGATATTTAGATCTTTTATTAGTTTGACGGGGAAAGCGGTGCGCAAACAGAAACACACACACGCGCACATATATACTAGGGGGTTGCACTGATTAATCGACTAGTCGACTTCAGTGCTCTGCCATGACGCTTTAAGCTTGACGTCGACTAGTCACTGGTCCTATAGAGGGTGCAACAGTATAAGAAATCTTTGAAGGACTTCCACATTTACGCTCCGTTTCCATACAGTTCAAATGACAAATAAATGCATACTCCGAAAGCGCTCCACAAGACATGTGAGATTATATTACTGGATGCTCGAAACTGAATGGGAGAATGCACATTTTAAACAGCTTATTGTACAGGTAAGTTAATCGCCGTTCTAATCTAATGCGCTGCTGCACTGTAACGCACACACATAGGCTACAGACAGTAACACACACAGAATCATTCAGCGCGGAAATGTATTGTCAACACTGTTCTGCGATTTCTCAATAAAATAGCTTAGAAACTGAAAAGTTCAAGCATATATTTCTTAATAACTAAATTCCACAGCTTCACTACTAGTAGAGAGACGCTGCCAGGTAGAATTAATTCACACACGCAATTGCTCTCACTAATGCATTCATATGAATGTAATCTTTACTGTGCTAATTTATCTGTATCCGATTTAGAATGAGCAGAAATCTGTGAGAAATAAATCGACCCAAAGACAAAAGAACTGATAAAAAAGCTGTTATAGGAGCAACAGCCATGTGGGCAGTGCTGTGTCATGCCATAGCTGTGCACAAGGTGTTTGAGTCTCAGCTCCAGGTTCAGGCTTATTTGTTCATTAATGACGTCATCAGCGACTAGTCGACTTCGACTCGACTTTCATCACATAAAAGTCGACTTCAAAAAATCAGAAGTCGTTCAAACCCTAATATATACATATATTAATTTATAAAAAAAAAATACAAGAAACACTCCCCAGACAGTTTAAGTTCAAATACTAAAATAACTCAAATTAAATAAACTAAAAATAAAAAAGACAGACATATAATATAGACCTATTAAAAAAGAACTAAAACAAAAATAAAAAAAATTAAATTAACTTAAATTACAACAAAAAAAATAATGAAGTCTAATTAAAAATATTAACAAAATTATAATAGTATCCTCTAATACTATAAAACTGTAATGATACTAAAATAACAATAAAATATAAATATTAGATGAAAAACTTAAAAATGTAAAAAGTTGCTTTGGCAACTAACTCAAATTAAAAGTAGTACTAAAATTATTAAACTAAAACTGAAATTAAATAAAGATAAAAATTAAAGCTAAATAAGCAATGACAAAAGCTCATAGCCTAATAAAATGACTAAAACTTAAATTAAAATATAAATGAAAACTGACTATAAAAAGATAAAAACTGATTGAAAATATTAGTAAATGTCATATAAATAATACGAAATACTACTACAAAGTGTAGGGTAAGAAATGATTTATTATATAACAGAATACAGCCTGGTGGTTAGAGCAGCATAAAAAATCATGCTGAAAAGAGTATTTATATTGTGTGCCTTTTTTTAAAGATAGATTTGCTCAAGAAGCAACACTGTGCAAGATATTAAGACTTATGCATGAAATTGTCAATTTTATGCATTGTTTCTGGTCAAGTAAATTATCTGGTTTCATTTTTTTATGTTTTTGTTAAAAAAGCCCTTTTGTAGCAGTGAGAGGGGCTCAAAATTGCATTGATTTGATTTAAAAGATTATTAATAAAAACATATTTAATTTGGAGTAATGTGCAAGAAAAAATTTCCTTTATTTTTAGTATTATATAATAATTTAATAGAACTTTTAAAAAAATGTTAGTGGAAAATCTATTTTTAAAATGTGAAAATTATTAGAGGAAAATGTCTGTTTTGCGGTTTACATTTTTTTTTTATTTCAAATGAAATTTTTAATGCAATTAAAATTATTTCTAATACTGTTTCATTGCCAATTATAGCAGATTTCCCCCTATTTCTAGTGTAGTATTTACTAATGTTTTACAAATAATTTTCCCCCCAAAAAATATTAGCAGTTTGTGTATTTTACTGTATTTTTTATTATTATTATTATTATATCCTATTTTTGTTATTTTTTCTAATTTAATGTTAATTGTAATTACAATTAATTAAAAAAAATGTTCTAATACAACTTTTATTGCAAATTATTAACAAGAATGTAAATTTCCCTTATTTTTCGTATTGTATTCTAATTTATTAGAATTGTTCAAAATTATTAACAGAAAATCTGTTTTTAAAATGTGTATTTTTTTTTATTCAATAGCATTTATTTCATTGCAAATTATTACAGGAATGAAACCAAATAAAATCAAATGAAACTTTTAATGCAATTAAAATGATTTTTTTTTTTTTTACAATTCTAATACAGTTTCATTGCAAATTATAGCAGATTTCTCCCTATTTTTAGTGTTAATTACTAATGTTTTTTAAATTGTATTTTTTTCCAAAAATATTAGCAGTTTGTCTATTTTTACTGTATTTTTATTGTTATTATTTTTACTAATTTAATTCAAATAATTTTTTCCATATCATTCACAGAAAATTTGTCTAATGTGAATGTGTATATATTTACAATTCTAATACAGTTTCATTGCCAATTATAGCAGATTTCTCCCTATTTTTAGTGTTAATTACTAATGTTTTTTAAATTGTCTATTTTTACTGTATTTTTATTGTTATTATTTTTACTAATTTAATTCAAATAATTTTTTCCATATCATTCACAGAAAATTTGTCTAATGTGAATGTGTATATATTTACAATTCTAATACAGTTTCATTGCCAATTATAGCAGATTTCTCCCTATTTTTAGTGTTAATTACTAATGTTTTTTAAATTGTCTATTTTTACTGTATTTTTATTGTTATTATTTTTACTAATTTAATTCAAATAATTTTTTCCATATCATTCACAGAAAATTTGTCTAATGTGAATGTGTATATTTTGTCGATTTTTTCATTTAATAGTTTATTTCTTTGCAAATTATGCATTTTTCGTTAAACCAATTTTTTTGTGAAATAAATTTGGATTCCCAGATTTTCAAGACTTTCTCAGTCTTTTGAAACTCACTTTATCCTAACACGTTTATCTTTGACTCTTTCCAAGTAACAGTATAAATTATAATTCATAATTATAACATTTGCATTTATTTATTTAGCAAAAGCTGTCATCCAAAGCGACTTACAAATGAGGAATACAACAAAAGCAATTTATCGACATCTGAAGTGCCACAATACAAAGAAAAGAACAAAGATAAAAGGGTATACAGGTACACAGCAAAGCTTGACTGTAACACATAATTCTGTGGATATTCTCTTCATAAACAGGGATGACGGCCATCCCGTGTGCCTGTCTGGGCATATTCCTGGGAGGTTTGCTGGTGAAGAAGCTGAACCTGTCTGCTCTGGGAGCGATTCGAATGGCAATGCTGGTCAATCTGATCTCCACGGCCTGTTACGTGTCCTTCCTCTTCCTGGGCTGTGACACAGGACCTGTCGCTGGGGTGACTGTCGCCTATGGCAACGAGTACGGACTGCTCAGCTGCTTTTTTCTCCTCACAGCCTTGTTATTTTTTGTGCCATTTATAATGTCTTTGCAGAGAAGCTAGAGGATGACAAGTCTTTTTTGTGGATGAGCCAGCTTCAGTATTTTATAGATGTCACTGGTTCTCTTTTTGAGTGTTTCAAGGGAATAGGAGAGAACAGATTAGTAATACATCCCAAATTATTTTCCAGGCCCACATTGAATCTTTGCTTTAGAGATCTGCACACATAGTGCTGTGGATTTTGATTGATCTCAGTGACTTAAAAGATTTTAAATCTGTTCATTTGCTGATGCTTTCTGCTTGTTTTCGTCATTACACCAGTAGGTGGTGAAAATGAGTGTATTTTTGTGTGTTATGAGCAAGTCGTTGAATCACTCATATTCTTATTATATTTGGATATATGCATTTTTAAACAATTAAAAGTAATTTAATTTTTTTTTTTTTTGTAATATAGTTTTTCATCGCCAGTTATTAGCAGAAAATGTCCTATTCGTTTTTTTATATATAATTTAATTTGAATACAATAAATGTGTTTATATAATATTCTTCTAATACAATTTTTGATGAAATTATTAATAGGAAAATGTCTATTTTTCCATATTTTTAGTATTATTATTAACTATTGATGTTTTATTATTTTTTATATTATTTTTATTTTTTAGTAATTTGATACAAATTGTTTTTCTAAATTATTAGCATAAAATTTTCCCCCTATTTTTATAATCATTTTTACTAATTTAACACTTTTTTTTTTTTGTATTAATTATTATTTGTCTTTCTTTTTAATGCAACACCATTTATTTCATTGCAAATTATTAGCAGAACATTTTTGGTGAAAACAGTTTTAGTGAAAATCTGAATCTCCGATTTTCACGATTTTTACACAAATTAATTAACATGTATTTTATTATTTTTTTGTAATACAGTTTTTCATGGGCAATTATTAGCAGAAAATGTCCTATTATCTGATTTTATTTTATTTTTATAATTTAATTTTAACACCATTCATTTTTTTATATAATATTCTTCTAATTATTGATAAGAAAAAAGTATTATTATTAAGTATTAATATTTTATTATTTTTAATATTGATTATTTTTTCATAATTTTTTCTTCTTTTTTTAGCAGAACTATATTATTAGCAGAACAATTTTTGTTTAAATCATTTCAGTAAATCCCAGATTCATAATTCTTCTCTGAATGAGATTGACAGTCTAAACAACCTCACATGCCCCTCTTGTTCAGTCGGTCAGCAGATGTTTCATTCATTCAGTTTGTTCATGAACAAGCCGTCTCAAGTCATTCAGTTTGCTCAAGAACAAGATGTCACTGCTGCTCCAATTTGTTCAGACTCAACACACAGACTCATTCAGTATTTATTCAATATTTCTGTGTACACCATCACACACTATTGGTTTTTCCCCAAACGATTCCATCCCCAAAAGTCAAACAGTTCCACCTGGGCCTGTTCATATCTAAGCTGCTAAACAAACAGGGCTGTGTGTGATAAATCAAATGAACTCATTGACACTCAGTATATCAAATGAACTGGCTTCAAACAGGTGAATGTGTGTTTGTGTGTATATAGGACACTGCAAGTAGGCCAGAGGCCAGAAGCCCCCTGCATGAGTCATTGTAACTGCTACACTTCATCCGTTAGCCCCGTTTGTGGCTCCAACGGTGTGACCTACTTGTCCTCCTGTTTCGCTGGCTGCTCCAGAGTCATCAGCACCGGACTTCCACCTCCTCTCTCTCAGGTCATTACCCATCTCATTTACACAACAACCTTTGTCTCTCGCTCTTTCTTTCCTCTTTGCTGTCACATACTCTCTGTATGTCTGTTTCTCTGGCTCTCCGCTCGTTTTCTGGACAGCTCGTGTCCGGCGTGGGTCATTAGAAGCGAAGCCCACGACGCTCATCAGATATACAGTATGTCGGAAAGGACACAGCGCTCTGCCTGCCAGGCATCTTAATGGCCACTGCAATATGGGCCTCTGCACTCATTACCATACAAAGCGAATGGTACAAACTGGAATAGATGAATCCAAGATAACAGTCACAACCATTATCGTAATTGCGCACTGGCTCACCACATGAATATACCAACTGGTGGGTTTAATTAGCCTGTTTCTGCCAGGGTTCGAGGGTGCATCGGTTCTCTGTAGATAAAATTGACTATAGCACGTTCAGACAGCTCATAATGACTCGTTTACTTTACACTAGTCCACTAAACTCTCATTTAATATTCATATTCATTTTTTGTATTTTAAATAAACCCTCGTTTTAATTTAATGGTCGATGGTAGCATATATTAAGTGATTTAAACTTACTGTCATATTTGCACATATCAGAAGGCAAAATTATAAGCAGATTTATTTTATGAGGAGAATATAAATGTTATTTGAGGTAACACTTTATTTTAATGTGTCCTTGTTACACAAGTTGCATATACTTACTATTATAATAACAAGAACTGATGCATAATTGCATGCTAGTAACCCTAAGCCAAAACCTAACCATATAGTACATGTAGTTCATTAATATTACTCAGTACTTAAATGTATAATTACACTGTAACAAGGACACCTTAAAATAAAGTGTAACCTTATTTGTTTTTATTTTCAGAATATGACGGGATGCGCGTGTATCTCCGCATACAATGACTTTGCCACGGCTGTGCCCGGCAAATGCCCGCGTCCCGGCTGCCAGGAGGCCTTCCTCACCTTCCTGTGTGTGATCTGTGCCTGCAGTATGATCGGAGCCATGGCCCAGACGCCCTCCGTCATCATCCTCATCAGGTGACTCTACCTTCACTTATTACACACTGAAATGAGAGTAAAAAACAGAGCTCTAATGTTATGGCCCGTACAAACCAAGCGCAATAACTATGATGATAACCATGATAGCGTTGTTTATTATAAGCATGCACTGCAGTTTTGTCGTCTGCACCTATCAATGCTGAAGCTATTTAATGCAGAAAGAAATCGATTTGGCTGTCAATGTTTTTATTGTCCATCAGCTGGAAAAATGGTTCTGAAAGTGATTCCAGTGATAGCTTAGTTCCCTCTATGTAGTTGTGGTGTAAACGTCCTTATTCTCATAGGATAAGAACATCTGTCTGTCTGTCTGTCTGTCTGTAAGACTTATCATTAATTTACTGTATACTCACCAAGAATGCATTTGATCAAAAATCCAGTAAAATTGCTTGATTATTACTATTAATTAATTACTTGAAAATTACTATTTAAAATAACTGTTTTCTATTTTAATGTATTTATTCATTTAAAAATTTGTGATGGCAATGCGGTTTTCTCTCACTCTTTAAATCATTGTAATATCCTGATTTGGTGCTCAAGAAACATTTCTTGTTATTATTGATGTTGAAAACCGTGTGCTGCTTAATATTTTTGTTGATATATGTCAGTTCAAAAGAACAGCATTTATTTGAAGTAGCAATCTTTTGTAACATTATAATGTCTTTCACTTTTGGTCAATTTAATGCATCATTCCTAAATAAAAGTATTAATTTCCTAAAAAGACAAACTGGTAGTGTAATAAATAAGTAAAATAAATAAATGATACATCTGATAAATATGTATATCAGATTTTTTTTTCTTTTAAATCTGAGGGGACACTTTGAACGTGTGTGTGTGTGTCATGAATGTGTGTATGAATAATGAACATGTTTTGTGCTCAATATGTTGACTTGCTTTCTTGCTCTTTTAGAACTGTGAGCCCAGAGCTGAAGTCATACGCTCTTGGAGTTCTTTTTCTACTACTGCGACTGTTAGGTGAGATATCACAGCACAGAACAACCACATGCTTTCACAGTATATTGTGGAGAGTGATTTGTTTGCCTCAGTGAAATAAGTCAATTTCCTAGCAAGCAGTCCAAAGTGCCATAAAACAAGGACAAGTTCATTTGCCACTTCTGTTAAAAAAAAGCAATAGTTTTCTAGCAGTAAAATTAAAGGGATAGCTCACCCAAAAATGACAATTCTGTCATTAATTATTCACCCTCGCAAAGTGCCATAAAACAAGGACAAGTTCATTTGCCACTTCTGTTAAAAAAAGCAATAGTTTTCTAGCAGTAAAATTAAAGGGATAGCTCACCCAAAAATGACAATTCTGTCATTAATTATTCACCCTCATGTCTTTCCAACCCTATAAGACCTTCGTTCATCTTTGGAGCACAAATTAAGATATTTTTGATGAAATTCACGAGCTTTCTGACCCTGCATAGATGTTCAAGGCCCAGAATGGTAGTAAGGACATTGTTGAATAAGAAAGAAGAAATTGTTGAATTAAGTCGTTATTTTAGTTTTCTTCGCACACAAAAAGTATTCTCATAGCTACATTAAGGTTGAACCGCTGATGTCACATGGACTATTTTAACAATGTCTTTACTACCTTTCCGGGCCTTTAACATGGTAGGTACGTTGCTGTCTATGCAGGGTCAGGGTGCTTTCGGATTTCATCAAAAATATCTTACTTTGTGTTCCGAAGATGAACGAAGGTCTTACAGGTTTGGAACGACATGAGTAATTAATGCTAGAATTTTCTTTTTTTTTTGCGTGAACTATCCCTTTAAAGCTGTTTGTCATACATAAAGTAGTTCTCAACTTGCTTTATTAATCAGAAAATGAAGACTTCCTCCATTCTCTCAATATTGCAAAACACCTAATATGTGCAGAAGCAGATCAGAATCAGAATTTGTCTTCAAAATGCAAATCTCAAATGATACAAAAACCATCTTTCAGGGTTCATTCCTCCTCCTCTGATATTTGGCACGGGGATCGATTCCACATGCCTTTTCTGGAGCACCGAGTGCGGGGACAAAGGCGCCTGTCTGCTATACGACAACGTGAGCTACCGGCACCTGTACGTCAGCATGGCCATCGTCCTCAAGGTCGTGGCGTTCCTCCTCTACACAACCACTTGGCAATGCTTGCGCAGAAACTACAAGAAATACATTCAAAACCATGAGGGATACGTTACACCCACGGAAATGTTCTCGTCCAGCGTGAATCTGGACAGTCTCGGAAAGGACAGCAGTCAGAGCCAAGTCAACAGGACTAAATTTATATATAGCCTGGAGGATCACGAGTGGTGTGAAAACATGGAGTCCGTTTTATAGTGGTTTCATGCTAATTCGCACATGATCGTTATACTGAAGGATCGTCTGTTATTCCAGGATGTGTCAGACTTTCTTGTAAACTCCTTCAAACTCTTCTACTGGGTCCATCTTGTTTTTACAAGTACTTTCACAGGTGTTTCTCCAGTGCCAGTAAAAAGTTGTAGTAGTTAGCTGAAGGCGTCTACTTCAATGCCTGACAGTGTAGCTGGTTTGTTAACTTCACACAGCTGTGCATTAGCTGAAGTCATACACAAAATGACTGTTTCCACAATTTTTCAAGTAAAATAATTATATATACAACTAAGATCAACAAGTTGAACTCGTCATCATCAGTCATCCGGCTGGTTGATGCTGGTTATGTTCTCGATCCCCGTTCCAGTCCGTTATTATTATGGGGATCATTTAGTACATCACAACCAGTTTATTAATACTAATATATAATTCTATTGTATACTACATACTGCAATTTTAAGCAATATATATATAAAAACAATATCAATTATTTCTCAAAACATTCAAAGGGGTGTTTGAGAGATGTTTTTTTCTAAGTGCTTTTTGCAGCATTTGCTTTCTGCTGTTGTTAATTTATATGGTTTATTAAGGCCTATAATGTCTTAATTTGTAAAGGTTATTGATACAGTACATTATTAGCTTCTTTATACATCTGTGCAATAGTGGGAGAGTGTATTTGATTTTGTTTTGGATGATGAAGACTGAGTGAGACTGATTATTTGTAGTTTTTTTAATGAATTTAGGAATGCCTCTTTATTCAGATGACAACAATGGCATGTTTGGGACTAGACTTTGGGAATATTGTGACCTACAATATGACTGACATCAGAGGGGAAGTATTGGGAAAAGGCGTTTTTATTAAATGGCAGAAGACTGTTGTCATTCATGAGTGGTGCGCTGATCTTGCTGTAGAGCAAATAACGTTCTGATGATTAGGCTGGGCCTTGGTATTTATGAGTTGGATGAAGAATGACATTTTATACAATTATAATGTAACATTTGAAGTGTGTTTCAGTTTTGGATTGAGATTAAACTGTTTTATTTCACTTCACTGCAATAAGACATGGCACTGTGGGTTCTTAGCAGATTAGAAATAGAGCTGTTTACAAAAGACACCTTGGGATAAAAACTGTTCATGATGAATTTCTGATTTTACATTATTTGAATTTCCTCTAAAGCTTCATAGCACATCATTCTTGTTTTACTGCAGGTAAAATTGAAGCAGTGTACTTTTCGTATCATTTTTTAAAATGGCAAAATAACTTTTATTTTATTCTGCAAATAAATTATTTTTCATAGAATCTCAGATTTGCCTCTATGGTTCTTTTTTACCTAATATTTTAAATAGTTCAAAAGATGTATAAAAATGTACTCACCCTCAGACCAACCAAGAAATAGATGAGTTTGTTTGTTCATCAGAACAGATAAAAAAAAATTAAAATAAAAATACATCACTTGCTCACCAGTGGATCCGCTATAGTGAATGGGTGCCGTCAGAATGAGAGACTAAACAGCTGTTAAAAATTACTGCATTCTATCAATTAATGTCTTGTGATGTGTTTTGTAATAATCAAATTCATCATTACATTTTTAAATTCAAACCGATACTTCAGGCTAAAATACGAGTCCTGTATCTATAATGTTGATTTTGTTTTCATGAAGAGTGATTCAGGAGTGACGTATGCACAGATAAAGTACCATTTACAACTGAAAACAGTTTAAAACAGTTCTAAACAAACATGTTAGTGAACTTTGATGCGAGAGGGATGGACTAGGGAGAGGGAGGATTATGGATTATGGACTCATATTTTGGCCAAAAGCAACAGTAAAATGTGTTAATGATGGGATTGTTTCTAACAAACATGCAGCTTTTCACTTCACGAGATGTTAGCTGATGGACTGGAGATGTGTGGATTACTGTGAAGTTTTTATCAGCTATTCGTACTCTCATTCTGACGGCACCCATTCGCTGCAGAGGATCCATTGGTGAGCAAGTGATATAATGCTACATTCCTCCAATTCGTTTCATATGAAGAAACAAGCTCAGCTACATCTTGGATTGCCTGAGGGTGCGTACATTTTCAGCAAATCTTCAATTTTGGGTGAACTATTCTTTAATGGAATAGAATTTAAGATATTTTATCAGTAGAGTATTATGCAGAATCTACTCTCAAAATATGTTTTTTTTATGTTAATATTCACTAGAATTGTTTTATTTAACTTTCTTTTATACATTTTTGGATTCACATCAAAATAAGAATAAGAGGATGTATTATAGTGTAGATGTAAATGGACCCAATTTGGTTATTTATAAAATCTAGGGCAAAATGGAGAGGAGATGACTATAAGCCATTTGACTGCTGGAGTGAGATTTCCACTCTATGGAAAAAGAGATTTGATTCAGAAAGGCCTTATTGCATTTGTGTTTGTCTACTTCTGATAATATATTCCTTGCTTTACCTTCTCCTCTTGAGCTACAACCTGCAGTTCAACCAAGGAGTTATTAAAAGTATGGACACGAAGCTTTTTTTCATAGAACCTTAAGCTGGTCCTGAAATAAAGAAACTGCTTGATCTATTGTGGATATGAAGGTGAAAAGCACAATACTTCACCATGGGCCTTTGAAATTAAATTCTGGACCATCTCCAACATCAGAGGCTATACCGCTATTGGGTAAAAAGGCTTTCTTTTGATTTCCTTCATAGACACACGCTCTTCACAACAAAAGGTCATATATAAACCTGACAACCTTCAAGGTTTTTATTTATTTAACTGATTGGACACCAAATGTCAGGCTGTTTGGAATCACCGTGAAGATTTTTGCAGGAGTATCTGAATTGAAATCCATCTTTTGGATTTATGAGTATTTATCTTCCATCAGTTTTTAACGGTGTCTCTTTAAGTGAGGTGACACATATACTGCGTGTTAATCTGCCCTGGTGTGTAAGAAGATTAAAGTCTTTATTTGATGTGGCTTAGATTCCCTTCTACAGCCTTGACAGATAAACGAAGAACCGATAGAACTGGAAGAAGAGTACGATGAGAGACTTAAAGGAAAGATACCCATTAACTAATAGGGAAACAAATGCAATGCTTTTTTTCCCCGTAGTTTGCAGCAGTGTTGTTTTAGAATAATTAATATACTAGTATAGTTTTTATTCAGATTTTGAACTAGATTTTTTTTTCAGTTTAGTTTTATTTTTATTCGTTTTTTTTCTAAGTCTGATATGTTACATATATTTTATATATATATATATATATACTTGTACTCACTCTCTCTCTCTCTCTATATATATATACATACAAATAGATATAATAGAAAGTGGGATTCACTTATTAAAAATAATGACTAAGTAGCAATAAGACCAACAACAACAGAGCAATATTCACTGAATAATGTACTAAATATCCCCGACATATTCAGGAGGATATTTATAGCATGATGTCCTATTCATCAGCACCTGCAGAAGACACAAAACATCTGCCAACACTACAAAAGGTTTATTCTTGTTAAAAATATGCTTCATGGAACACACTGTTGTCAAGACTGACATCTCAAACATGTCTTTGGTGCAATACTGTTCAGTTCCCACTTTCATACATCTCAGAGGATCCAAACTCAGGAGGGATGGGGATATGAAGCATTTATGTTCTGCAGTGCAGGGTTATTTATCAGGGTTATTATTGTCAGCAAATAGAGAGCTATTTTAAACTGATGTGTAGCAATAACACAGTTGAGAGAGCTAATTCAATTACCGACCATTTCACATACTTAAAGGAATAGTTCACCCAAAAAATGATAATTTGCTGAAAATGTACTCACCCTCAGGCCATCCATGTAGATGAGTTTGTTTCTTCATCAGATTTGGAGAAATTTAGCATTACATCACTTGCTCACCAATGGATCATCTGCAGTGAATGGGTGCAGTCAGTACAAGAGGCCACAAGTAATCCATACAACTTGTTAATTGAAAAGCTTTGTGTTCATAAGATTTGTTTATTACAAGCACTCAGCGTTTAGCTTCACAATTTGTTAATTGATGGACTGGAGTTGTGTTGCTTATTTGTGGAATTTATTGTTGTATTATTTTTATGTCTCATTTTGTGTTTGAAGTCATTGAGTCATTTTGACGGCACCCATTCACTGCGGAGGATCCATTGGTGAACAAGTGATGCAATGCAAAATTTCTCCAAATCTGTTCTGATTAAGAAACCAATTCAACTACATCTCGGATGGCTTAAAGGTAAGTACATTTTCATTTTTGGGTTAACTATTCCTTTAATTGCTAGTACAGAAGCCTTTGTTGGTATATTACCTGTGAAACTGGAGGGAAAACTCTTAAAAATGAAAAAGCGTTTTTGTTTGGGAATTCAAAGCTTTTACAATAGCTACAATGTTTCCCTAAAGACTTACTCCCTAACCATGGAGTGCATTAGTAGGGTTTGGTTTGGCATGTGTCGTGTGTACGTTTCTATGCACATTGCATCTGTTTCGCTTTGTTTCACATAATAATCCATCACTGCTATGGCTATCCCATCAAACTGTGCATAATTAATTTGAGGATTCATTACAAGGCCTAATTTCTCAGGAGACTGATGTGTTTGTGTGAAAATGCACAGAATATTTTATGTAAATAAGTCATTCAAAAGAGAGTCAATGTTCTGCTGCAGTGCTTTAACTGAAAAAGATGCTGAATTTATGGTTTTGAAAATTATCCTTCGGAACCACAGCTCAAGTTGTCCATAATAATCAAACAACTTAATCGTCTTCAGCTGAAGATAAACCCTGCTGTGTCACAAATATAAATAAAAAATACGCTCTTCTCTCTCCAATGGCTCTCATAATATTTGAGAGAGAAGCAGGAGGGGTGAATTGTCAGTTGGCTCTTTGTGTTGTACATTTTTGATGTTCGGTTCAAAGTAGATGTTGAGAGCAGCTCAAATGCTCAAATACAGACTGAGTTTAGGGAAAAAACAAGGGGCTTGATGCTTTATGATCAAAACCAAAGGATTTTTTTTTTCAAAAATGCAAACAAAAGTAAACTACAATCTGGATATTAAATAAATGTTGAATGCTCAGAATATTCTCTCATTTTACAGATTACAGATTTTTCAGATGAAGAAAATAGAAAAAAAGTGTCAGATTTCCTCCAAAGCATTTTTCACTTATTCTTTGAACTGTTGCAAATTACCATCTTACATAAAAATTAAATTGCAAAAGTATTTCCCTTCCCTGTGGCTGAGAGTTGAGCACTGTCTGTCTGTGTGTGTGTGTGTGTGTGTGTGTGTGTGTGTGTGTGTGTGTGCAGAGACAGGAGGAGATTATTTAAAAACATTACAAAAACCCATTACTTGCCTTCATGAAATCCTTAGAAGCAGATTGGATATGGAGCATGGTCATTTTCCATTGGATAACTTGATATACACATTGCACACGCAGGGCTAAACTGGGTCCGGTGCAATGGCACACTGAGCCGATGGAAATATGGGCACTATTTTCTGCCTTAATGTTGCAGCAGATGAATTATATTGGCTCAAGGCATTCAAGAACTGCTGTGACTCACTGACATGAAATGTTGCTCATTTATTTGCAGGCAGCTCTGCTGACTCTCTGACAGCTTCAGTAGCCTGGTCCAAGTTTGGTAAGATGAAAAAAGACTTACAAACTATTTGAAATACCTTTTAAGACGGTTATTCTGAATTTGATTTACTTTTTCACTTATTTCACTTTACTACTCTAGTATTGACATTCCAAAGGGGGTTTTCGCAACGATGCCATAGAACCATTTTTGATTCCCCAAGTGAACAGTCAGTTTATACTGGATGCAGCGCAACGCGACAGGTCAAATTCCCGACTGTAAAACGATGTCCCGTTCTATTTCTGACCCTACTTCAAATGGCCGCGCTACTTCTGACACGAAGGACAAATTCATTTGCAACAGTCGTTCTATCGCGTCCATCATAGACTGTTTTAAAGGGTTAGTTCACCCAAAAATGAAAATTATGTAATAAATTACTCACCCTCATGTCGTTCCAAACCCGTAAGACCTTTGTTCCTCTTCGGAACACAAATAAAGATATTTTTGATAAAAATCTGAGAGCTCTCTGACCCTCCGTAGACAACAATGCAACTGTAATGTTCCCAGGTCCAGAAACGTAGCAAGGACATCGGTAAAATAGTCCATGTGACATCAGTGGTTAAACCATAATTTTATGAAGCTACGAGAATACTTTTTGTGTGCAAAGAAAACGATGATAACATAATTTATTAAAAATTCTTCTCCCCGAGTTACCGTCTTCCGCCATTTTGGAGAGTACCCCAGAACGTAATCAATGTAATCAGTGTTGTGTACTTTCAGTAGACAGCGCGCACATGCTAAACGTAAACAACGCTGAAAGCGCGCATATGCTGAACATAAACAACGCTGATTACGTTGATTACGTTCTGGGGTACTCTCCAAAATGGAGGAAGACGGTAACTCGGGGAGAAGAATTGTTGAATAAATTATGTTATTATTGTTTTCTTCGCGCACAAAAAAGTATTCTCATAGCTTCATAAAATTATTTTGGGTGAACTAACCCTTTAAGCTGTTATGACGCGAAGCGACAACGCTTTTTGTGAAGAACATTTAAAAAATATTTTTTCAATATAAAGAACCTTTTGTGGAATAGAAAAGTTCTATGGATGTTAAAGGTTATTCATGGAACCATATCCCTGCTGAAAAAAACAATAGAGACCATCACAGGAATTATAATGGTTTCCATACAAAAACCATTATAAACATTACAAACCATCAACTTTTAACTATTAAAACCACTAAAAATGGATTCCTGAGTTTTGGGACATGGTCCATTAGGATTTAGTGGTTTTAACAAGCCACCAATAGAACCCCAACCAATTACAAGTAGAGACCAACAAGCACCATTACAGTTTCCATTAAAACCAGTACAATTCCCATTATAACCAGTAAAACCATTACAAATTCTCTGACGGCCTCTATTGTTTTTTTTCAGCAGAGATGCCAATAATAAAGAACCTTTAAGATATAATTTTCACTGACAGACAGTAGGCCTATTAAACACTCACACATAAACAAAATGCTATTTAGAAGGTTTTCACAACCCATCATGCATACAGACTCCCTATAAAGCAATTGTGAGGACAAATTAAAAATATGGCAGGATGATGACCCCCTTTTTCCTTCCCTTACTCTTTTCTCCACGGACACCACCATTTCTAGGCCATCTCTGGCAGCACGAAGCACACAAATGTATCAGAATGATTCAAATAAGATTCCTTCTGCTTCTTTTAGAAATTCACTATTGGTTTGTGGGCACAAAACAATGTTTTGTGGGCTCATTTGCCAATATATTAAAAACTTTGACAAAGAAAGAAAATCACAGATCTTGTGCTGACAAAATAGCAAGTTAAGGTCCTTGCACACTGAGTCCGAAATTTTCGTATACTTTTTTTTTTTTCGTATTCATCATCCTTTCCTATCAAAATGCTTGCTATCGATGCGAAAGCGCAGAAAATCGAACCTGGTCCAAATTTTTTTTTATAACGGATGAAAGTTTTGGAGGCAGTGTGTAAATGTGATTGACACAACGTGAGGTCGTATTTATTTTTTAACATGCGAAAATTTAGGACGAGAATTTGTGCAAAGACCTTTAGTTTAATGGCAAGATGAACTTTATGCAGGAATTCATAAATGATCATGAACAATCAGTTAACAGGCTGGATGTACAGTATAGGACACTTTCAGTTTACTATCATTATGTGTATATTGTTCCATTTCTAAAAACAGTATTAGGTTAATCCTAAATATGCATGCGATGATGGTATGACAGCAATGTATTATGATATTTGAATCATACAAATATAATAAATGGACTAAAAATCCCATGAATCCCATCTTTATATCAGTATTTTCTAATACAAACTTACATTTGCCTACACAAGAATATTTTGATAAGCAGTGCAGGTGTTAGACCTGACAGGAAACTGTGATATAAACAGTACATCTTTCACAGTGCGAGAATCTTCTTCATTTGTAGGTTTAGAAATGATATGCCAGGACTGTTTGAGTATATTCCTGAGCCTGGAAGACGGTGAAAACGGTCATGCACATTCTTCGTAAGTAATATTTTGTCAGCTTTTTTCCAGTTATGTCTGCTGGGTGCACTCTTAAAAAGACAGCAAATTTTAATACCTCTCATAACATCTGCTGTTGTGAAACACTTGGTGAGTGATCATGATAACCAGTCAATCTTAGCTGAAAAAACAATTATGCTGCCTAATTGTATAGGGTTGTAGATCACTGAAACAACCAGCAAATTAAAGTTTTACTACCTTTCAATTAAATCAGAGACGATCAGAATTAAAGATGAAAGAACTGTTGGTTGAAGCAGCAGGTGCTTGTGTGTGTGTGTGTGTGTGTGTGTATGTGTGTGCATGTGCGTGTTTTTGTGACAAATGAGGACATCAATTTGTATAATGACAAAGGTATGACATAGGTGACTTTTCAGGACATTACCCCATGTCCCCACTTTTCAAAACGCTTATAAATCACACAGAATGGAGTGTATTGAAAATCTGAAATAGCACAAAGTCTCCTGTAAGGGGTAGGTTTAGGGGTAGGGTTGGTGTAGGGCAATAGAATATACGGTCTGTACAGTATAAAAACCATTACGCCTGTGGGATGTCCCCACTTTTCACAAAAACAAACCTGTGTGTGCGTGTGTGTGTGTGTGTGTAGGTTTAAATGACCAAATGTCCCTACAATGTCGGCAAAACCCCATTAGCGCATTGACATTGTGACCTCCAGCAATTAAATTTGTTTTCTAACCAGCTGTGACTGCAAGGCGATGAGCAAGTATATACTAGCTAACATCCAGCACTTACTGTTTTTTTCCATATACTGTAAATATATGGCAACATCCACAATATTTTAATGTAAGAGCTGGGGCAGACATTTTTAACTTTAATGTGCAAGGTTTGTCAGCCACTTCCTGTCATATTAGCTGTACAAAAATATTGTTGTAATGTGCAGTCAAATTTTTAAAATTGCAGCGAAATTTCACCGGCAAAAAAACAAACAAACATGTATTGTCAATAGTGTAGTAATGTATAAAGCACAGGTCACACAGACGTTTCTTTCAAACTAAGCAGCTTTCTGTTTTTGTGGCAAATAATGGTGATCAACTGTAACCTGCTGTGAAATCTGCGTGAGAAATTTCTCGCCCTCAAATTAAACTCAAATTGCAAACTATTATTTGTTATAATATAATTTTAATTTAGTAGGGTATTGCAATCATAAACAAACTGTCAGAAAACGGTGTTACTGTTACTGCACTCTGTTATAGGCCTACTTCTAGTTATTTATAAAGCTGCTAATGAAACGGAAGTCTCGCACATTAACAGGAAATAGATCAAATGTTGCTAAATTGAACAGAATTAACGCTCCTGGACGTGCATATTAAACATTAAACATGAATGAGGTGACAGGTGAGGCTGACTGTGGAAGATGAGAAATATTGGAAATCATATGACAAATCCCTAAAGTTCAACAAAGAAAATTATGAAAAGCATGCCGCCCTAAATAACAGCAGGAAAGTCGTGAAAATAAAAGGTGTTCTGGTTGCGCAGCACAAGAAAGCGCGCAGACGGAACTGCTCTGGTTGGCAATGTGGACAGACAAATGGTTTGTCGCTGTAACCCTGTCGCGTCGCACCTGGTTAGGCCAAGGATTTAGGATTAGAGGTTAGAAAATACCATTAGCTCAATCTAAAAACAATAGAAGTCAATGGAAAGTCCTCACTGTAGAGAACCAAACGTCCGTGTCTTTGTCAAATAGAAACAAAGAGAGCAAGATGGAGAGGGGGAATCATATTTCATATTCAATTTCAAATCCACGCCTTCTGCCACTATATACCAATTACGCGGTTTAACTGAACGCATAACATTCATATGTGAGATTATGCACCTTGCAGGCAAAGTTTCAAGGGAACTGCCACCCACCAGATCTCCGAGGAGTAGCGGCAGGAGTAGAAGAGAAGAAAGGACGTTCACGTTTGCCTCATCTCTACACTACTTTAGTGGAGGTGGAAGAAGCTGATGGACGTGATGTTTAATGCAGACAACTGTTCGCTAACCTGCACGGCCAGTTAGAATGGTCCGGCTTTGTCGAGGAGACGGAGGAACATTACATGCGTTGCCCTGCGTAAGGAAGCAGTGTGAAAGAAGAACCGATTTCTATTGCGCTTATAGTTCAACGCTTCTATAGAACCGCACATATCGGTCAAGTCATGTCTTTTGAATTCCGAATACTGATGTTTGGAATCGGGACAGCCCTGGTTATATTTGTGATTATAGCTGATATATCGGAAGTGGAGGAAGAAATCGCGTAAGTAAATTCGATTAACGTACAATAAACAATACAGATGAATATATCGCATTCTTGTTGGGTCTTTGTGTCAACGCACAGTTGCACTCCGTTTATGTGATGTTTATGGTTAGGACATTGTCCTCCGTGCTTTGATTGTCTCACGAGAGACTTTGTAGAAGCCCAAACAATGGACAGTCCATTTAGGACTAGCCTGAGCTGCGTATTACATTGGCTTGTATTTATACCATTACTTTAAATACAAGAAAATGACAGAGCTGTGCATTTTATCTACTTGATTATTATGTGTATTATAATTTTTTTTTTCTATTGGAAAATCAATCTTAAATTGGTGCTGTGTTTTGGAAAATAACTGGTCTCTAGTTGGTCCAAGCTGGTCATTAGGTGGTCTAAGCTTTTCAGTTGCTGTCTAAAAAGCTACCATATTCCAAAAAGCCAGCCTGACCACCCTACTGAGCTGTTCCAAGACGATTTACCACCTTACCAACTTAATGACCACCTTGGACCAGCTAATACCCATTTTGGAACAGCAAATAACCAGCCTAGACCAGCTACAATGTTATAAAACACAGACTACATTTTAAACTGTGTCTTCCTGCAGGGCTGGTTTGGTCTTTCATCAAACAGGGTAATACTGTGTCTAGTCAAAAGAGGGAGACAATGTGTTGTCCCAAGGACTATTGTTTGCAAAGCCATAGCCTGTGTTTGTGGGTTCTTAAATTTGAGGGAACAGCTTACGTTTGATATTACGTTAGTTTGATGGCATTGATAGTTCTGTATGATCTGGAGGGGATATGTGAGATTTTAAAGCTTTTAAAGTTAATCTGTTATCCATTCAGAGTTACTTACCAGCAGAGTGATAATATTTTGGAACTGATTTTGCAGAATATTGTTAATATGTATATAGTCTCAAATTATTAATGCTTGGCAGGTCTCCAACACAAGTCCTTCAGACTTTGCCGAGTGTGAAACCTTGTATGAGAGTCATCAGATAAATGCAGCTGACCCTGGTGCTCTGTAACGAATGGCTGTTGGTTTGTGGTTTTGTTCTACTCTTGAGTATGTTCTGTTTGCGCCCATTCATGGCAAGTGAAAAGACAGTCTGATCTGTGGTTTGTGGCAGCTAGGGGATTACTGTTTGATTTGTGACTTTAAAGCTACAGCCTGGAGACAAAAATGAACAGTTTGCCTTTCCTCAGTTATAATTGAACCCTGTAGCAGAAATCCTCAGGCTTACATTATTGCAAAAATCTCGCTGTCTCGGGACATACACTTTAAAGCTCTTAAGCGAGAAGAATGTTTGTGTGTAGATGGATTAATTGCAAGAATAATTGCATGAGAAAACAACACTCAAGCACAAGTGTATGCTGCCAAGATGTGCATATAGGGCTTAATTTTTAAATGGATCATGCCTAGAATTGCCACATTTGACATTTTATGCAAAGTATTTGGCTTGTTTCTGTATACCGTGAGATTGTATTTCACATTTCTGCTGCACTGATTACTATTTATCCATTAAGCGTGGAATGGGAATATTTTCCTCCCTCATATTTGCTAACCCAAAATATCCCAGAGACAAAATAGAATTGTAAAATCCCAATTTGGAAATTTCACACCTCATTTACTAGCAGTCAGAAGGCATTAGATGATGCTTATGATCTAATTTTTGCTTAAGTTATTGGCGAGATTTATAATTTATTGCAATTTAGAATATAATTCCATATCAAACAAAGGATCTAAGGGGTATATCTCAGAGCAGTTATAAGCGCTTTGACGCAACACCACTATTAAATCTGCATTTGAAGCTGCTCCCCAGAATTTTAAGAGATCTGTGCTCTGTCTGCTTAATAATGCTCGTAGCCATGACTTTGAGGGAAACATGGAGAGCATTACAGTGAGTGGTAGACAAATAGGACTGATTTGCTGAAGGAGACAATGCTATCCTGTCCTAACTGCTTTGAAGGGGGGCACCCTGCAGGAAGAGGTTTTTTGAACGGCATGATGTCAGTTACCTATTATCCTTGCCGTTATGTCTGAAAGGAATAGTTCACCCAAAAATGAAAATTTGCTCACCCACAGGCCATCCAAGGTGTAGATGCGTTTGTTTCTTAATCAAAACAGATTTGGAGAAATTTGGCAATACATCACTTTCTCACCAATGGATCCACTGCAGTGAATGGGTGCCGTCAGAATAAGAGTCAAAACAGCTGATACAAACATCACATTAATCCACAAGACACCAGTCCATCAGTTATCTTGTGATGTGAAAAGTTGCATGTTTATAATGAACAAATTCAACACATGGTGAGCAAGTGATGTAATGCTAAATTTATCCAAATCGGTTCTGATGAAGAAACAAACTCATCTGCATCTTGAATGGCCTGAGGGCGAGTATACTATTCCTTTAAGGTGATTCCTCTAGTAAATATTCGGACACTTTATTTTTATGAAATAATTAATCAGTAATAACCATAACCTTGTGTTTGTACCATCAAAATATTCTAAAGAGTTTAGAAGTGGAACGGCTTATATTAAGTCCTAAATAAACATCATCATAATTCAATTTCATATATTTTTCCAGTCCAGGGTCTAATTGCCTTTACCTCATTATTAATGGTCATATTACTGGATAATGATGATGAATATTTTATGCCTTCTGCTCTTAGGAACATTGAGGATTCACAGAAGTTTCGCTTTGTCCTTCAGTCCAACAGGTTTGTAATCTGATTTGTTATATCAGTTATGATTTATGGTGTTTTCGTGAGAAAATGTCATTGATGCTTACAACCACATATTTAAGTCTGTTTCTCAGTGTTATAGACCTAAACCAAGACATTTTAAATGTAAATGTATTCAATTTTCAGTTTATTTGCATGTTAATTATTTATAATTATTTAAATGTACTTAAAATCTTTTTTTTCATATTACTGATTTATCAGGGTTTCAAGAATTCATTAAACATAGCTGCCAGTATTTTTTGAGGTGACAGATGTTGTTATTTGTAGCTGTGTCTTACAGTGATGTTTGGCAGACATGCACATAAACATGGTATTTTTCCTCCATCAGAAATTCAGTCCTGAATAGTGTTCCTACTTCACTAGTCACCTATCGAAAGAGCAAAGTCTTTTCTTCTCCAATTCCACTGCCAGGCATGAAGAGCAAAACCAGCAATTCATTCTCACCAGAATGGACTTTCAACAGAACCTTGTCTAACCTCATCAGGTATGGCTTGAATTTATTCAAATGCACAGTATGACATTTCTAAAGAATGTGGTTCCCTGTTAATACTTGGTTTTTTAATCCCTTAGCTTTCATAAAGTGTGTTGTTGTTTTTCATTTTCCTTCCAGGAAAAACATTTTGAGGTTCCTGGATGCTGAGAGGGACATCTCAATTCTTAAGAGCACCTTTAAACCCGGGGATGTAATTCATTATATATTTGACCGCCAGAGCACCACAAACATCTCTGAGAACCTGTACCACCTTTTGCCGACTGTGTCTCCCATGAAGAACCAGCATTACAAACAATGTGCCATCGTAGGGAACTCTGGGATACTACTGAATAGCAGCTGCGGCAGAGAGATTGATTCACATGACTTTGTCATTAGGTAAACAACTTTTCTTCTGTTTTGTGTTGTAGCATTCAAAAGTGTGTGCTGTTGATGTAACCTTAGCCAGCTCTCATCCTGAATTAAACAATAAATCCACCTAAACTAGCTGTAAAGAATAATTATAAAACAATGTCCTAAAACTAGAACTTATGTATATATATATATATATATATATATATATATATATATATACTTCCTAAAAGAAATAATGTGAACCTTCCTTTTTTGGTCCAGATTTAAAGATTTAAAAGAGTGTAAAAAAAAAATGTCATGCAATTGCCACTATTTCTCATAAATTGGTCTTTATTTCTTGTAACTGTGATTTTATATCTTACAGTGACTCATTTTTACACGTCACAATTTTAATTTTTTTTGCAGAAACTTGTTTTTATGAATAACAGGCAGAAAAAAATCTCTATATATATACTTCCTAAAAGAAATAATGTGAACCTTCCTTTTTTGGTCCTTAATACCAGATTTAAAAGAGTGTAAAAAAAAAATGTCATGCAATTGCCACTATTTCTCATAAATTGGTCTTTATTTCTTGTAACTGTGATTTTATATCTTACAGTGACTCATTTTTACACGTCACAATTTTAATTTTTTTTGCAGAAACTTGTTTTTATGAATAACAGGCAGAAAAAAATCTCGGATACAGAGGTTTCATCATGAGTAGGATTAACCTTAGAGCGGCAAGGCTGATGTTCATTTATTATGAAGTTTATTAAAACATTTTCTGTGCCGTTTGTATCTTTGCAGCCGTAGATTCACATTCTCTACATTCAACTTGAAACTTGCTTTAAAGAAATGGTTGGATTTCAAACACATTACGATCTGTATGCGACACAATGCACTTTTGAAATAGCTGTCAGTACTACATCCAGGCTTGACTCATACTGTCGGAAGGCTTTCAGAACTGAAGGGTGATACATACTGCAATTAGTGACCAACTGAGCCAATATGACATTTGTATAAGTCATACTAAGCCACAGTCCTGGAAACGTAATTAGGCTGTCTTCTAAAAGTGACTACAGTTCACTTGCCTGTAAAGTGCTCTGCCTACAGCCGAAAGCTTTTACAGCAATGTGCTTCATGTGATATACTAGTGTAATACTGTGAGATTCCCAATCCTAAATGAGTCTTCATCAGCCCAGCTGTGCTCTTAGGACATTAATGTCATTCAGCCCCAGTCCAGGGACATACAGAGCCTCGAAGATTAAGTAATGGAGGAACTTAAATCCCTCCTGTGTGTTTGGCATGGCTTTTCTGCTGGGTAAGGGCAAGACTGTGTGGGAGTGTGACCGTGACAGCTAAGCCTTGGCAGTCGGCATGGTGCCAGTGTTGAAAGGTTTTCCAGGTATTGTGGCAAGATGATAATGCCAACACTGCGCTCAGTATTTGCTTTAAAGTCACCTCTGTGTGTCTTTATGGATTTTTTGAAGTTAAATGATGGGATGTGCTTTAAAAGGCACTTGCTTAGTCTGTAGGTGTATTCTGCATGTGAGAAGATAATGCCTACTGTAGTATTAATATTGTAGTTTATACAAAGATAAATTACTTGCTTTAAAATGAAGCAAGTCTGGAGTGAAGGTCATTTACTCGTTCGTACTTTTTAGCTGTTTATATGTCACTCTTGATGCTCAGTAGTCCGGCAGGGCTTTTAAATTTTTCACTTGAACCCATCTTTCACCTTTCATACACTAGTACACTCAAGTGTGCTACAAGTGGTGACTAAATACATATTTTAAATACAGAGATAGTATGTTAAAGAGCAGGTCATATGGGTTTTCGAAAAATCTCTCTTTTGCAGTTTGTAAGGTAGCCTTCAATGTAAAAAGTCTGCAAAGTTGTTAATCAAAAAAGTACATGATGAATAAAGATATTGTCTCTCAAAAGAAAGAGTCGACTCAGAATCGCCTTAAGTCGTTATATTTTCGAATCTTCTGCCTGTTACCGATCTACGTCACTGGGTAACAGTGCAATACAATTCGAACCTTTTGTTGTGCTCGTCATTTTACCCAGGACTGCTTCTCTAAGCTTGCCTTTTATATTCATTGGCTTCTAATCTTCTTTATTTGGACCAATAAGCTCTCCGAACCACAACCTGTAAGTACAATTGATGCATTATGTGTACATTTTCAATTGAGTGCTCAAAATATCTAGTTTTTTTTGTGCTAATATGTGATGTATAGCTAGTGCTGCTTTAGGTTTCCAGGTAAAGCAGGATATTACTGTTTTACTGAAATAGGTCTGATAATTCGCTGTGAACCCACTATTTCCTAAGAATGTGTTGATTAATGTAGACTGTCGTTGTTCTAATTACTTTGTTTAATAATAAAGAATCTAGTGTAGCGCACCGACTTTATAATCATTGTGAAAGTGCTGTTTATGTAGTTATGGTTAATGCAGGGAGTAAAAGACCCGGTAAAGAGAGACGAGTTAGTTAGGCTGGTGCGCATGTGATACAGCTGTTCTGCGTTATAATTAAAGGTTAAGACACGGAGCGTCTTTTGTCTGTCGTTCTTCAGACATTACAGTAGACATATTTTGGTTTTCAAACTGTATTGTTTCATCAGTTAGTCACGTTAGCACTCGGCTAACGTATCCACCATTATTGTTTTTTTAAGTGTTTACAGTTTAGCAGCTAAACTTTAGCTGTGGGCATGATTCGCTTGCATAAGTGTTAAACAAAATGTTTTTGTCATTTATTTTAAGAACTGATTGAAGCACTAGATTATTGTTTTATGTAAAGGTGCATGCTATGGTTGCCAGGTTGTCACAACAAAACCAGCCCAATTGCTACTCAAAACTAGCCCAATCGTGTTTCGAGGGTGGTTCCCCTTTAAAAATCGCATTCTGGGGTGTAAAATACACTCTTTCAGTTGGGGTTCCCCTGGTAAATTCCCATTCCAGTGCCTAAATATGACGTTATTGGGGTCGCTACAACCCGCGACATCAAAAACAACCACGGATTTGGCAACACCGATGGTAGCACTCGCTAACTTGCTCAAGCGCTCCTCTTTATGCCAGTCACAACAGGCTTGGCTAGCTGACCAATCAGAGCAGAATAGGCTTATGGAAGGGAGGGGTTTACAGACATTTCGCTCAGAACTGAATCGAACGAACCGTTTCGAAATCATGGACAAATGACTCTATGTATATATGTAAATTCTGGGAAAATAACAGTGTTTTCTGACCTTTGATGCATTTAAACCTGTTGTAGGGGACTCCAACACAATATTAGGACACTTTAAAAAAAAACATATGACCTGCTCTTTAAAAGCATATTATAGTTCGGTGTCCCAAAATAGCACAGTTGAGTTCACTTAGATGATCTTAAGATTATCTCAAGTACTAAATCATAATTTTTAGTATATTAAGTACAAAACTAGTGTGCGATAATAGAGGACTAAGTACATTATGGAAGTGTACTTTTTTCACTTGGATAGATTGTACTTCCAACTTGAGACCTTTTATTTAGTATTTTAATTAGTGATGCACCAATCATAATTTTTCATGGCTGGTGCCGATTCCGAAATTTTTTTTTTTTTTTAAACAAGCAAATTACCCAATTCCAATACTGGTTGCATATTATTTTATTTATTTATTTATTTATTTATTTTTAAAGCTAATTTATTTGTTGATTTGCTCTATAACAGGCAAATTGGCTTTAAACAGAAATATCTGTTTCTATGTAACCACTGCATTTTAATCACGATCCAAACAAATATGCTACACATGTTGCAAGAGTTGTTTTTATTTGAATTAGATTGTATAATTTCAATATTTAAAGCAAAAACAGAACGGTCTGACTTCATCTTTGTAAAATGATGCTACATCAAATATCTTCCTTGAAACAAAAACAACAGAGGGGCTAAAGAAATGCAAATTCACTCATTGACAGCAGGTGGCGCTTATGGAACAGCAGCAATGTAGCGTTTCTTTGGATACTGCTGTAAACAAAACACTGCTGCGCTTATAAACACTGCTTTATACGGAGGTAAGAGGGGAAGAAAATGCAATTGCCATCAAAACTTTTCTGAAGACAGTTCCCTTCAGTGATACATTCATAACCCCTCACCACCAATTCAGTATTCATATTTTAGTTGAAGTTCAAAAAAAGCACCTGCAACAGATTATCAAACTATCAAACAGACAGTAGGTTTGTCTTGAAAGGTGTGTGTGGAAAAATAACCGTAAAAGAAGATTGTTTAGTCTGTGCTATCGCACCCCTTTTGGCAACAGCGAAAATGCAACACTTATTTGAAGGATCTGCACTGACACATTTGTGTAGAGTATGTTATGGGAGTAATGTATTCTCTTTGAAGCAGACATGCAGAGTGAAATAAACTTCAGATATGTTTATTGTTGATAGCTTGCTACTTGAAAACTAAGGCTTGATCATATGTCACCATGTGAATACACACAGGCCTAAGCATTTACGTATACAATATGTAAAGGAAGTAACTTGAGATAATAAGTAGTGCTGTCAAACGATTAATCGCATCCAAAATAAACGTTTTTGTTTACGTAATATGTGTGCGTGTATTGTGTACATTTTATTATGTATATATATAAATACACACACATACAATATTTCGTAAATATTTACATATATATTTAAATTCATATTATATATAAATATATTTCAAATATAACTTATTTTTCTTAAATATATACATGCATGTGTGTGCATGCATATTTAGTGTGTGGTGTGTGTGTTTCCAAGGTGTAACCTGGCTCCAGTGGAGGAGTATGCGACTGATGTGGGCCTGCGCACCAGTCTGGTGACTATGAACCCTTCTGTGGTGCAGCGTGCTTTTCAGGACCTGAATAGTGAGGAGTGGGTACAGCGCTTCGTCCACAGGCTGCAGAGCCTCAGCGGGAGTGTGCTGTGGATCCCTGCCTTCATGGCTAAAGGAGGAGAGGAGCGAGTGGAGTGGGCCATCCGCCTAATTCTTCTGCATACCGTGAACGTCCGCACTGCCTTCCCCTCCCTGCGTCTGCTCCATGCTGTCAGAGGGTACGTGTCTGTGCATTTAAGCCTACTCAACACTCATGATCGCTGAAGCATGTGTATCAAGCCTCTCGCTATTTATAGTTCAAGCATCAATACATTCACATCCTACTCTGCGACCACAGTGTGGGGCTGTTCCTGTAAGTGGACCGAGGCGCAAGTGTTTACCAGCATTTATATATCTGTATTTTTTACAGAAGGTCTTTGTAAGTTCGCTCAATGAATTCAAGCCCCTCTGGGCTCAATTGTAGTTGGCTGTCTTTAAATAGCACGCAACCTTTGCCTCTTTCATTGACCTCTGCATATTTTAAGTCTGCTATTCAGCCCTCCCTTGGAGCAGAGTGGCTAGAGCCCACCATCCTTACAATGCACCTAGCCGAGGATGGTTTTTCTTAGATCCATCTGTGTAACATGGGTTGCTGGGGCCAGAATAAAGGTCAGGCAAGAGACGGCTGTTAAGTGAATGGTGTATTGAGGAAAATATGCCATTACAATATGTTGTAGTTGATCAAATTATTAAAAAGTAGTACATATGTAAAGGAATAGCTCATTTAAAAATGATATAATCTGCATACACTCATTTGGAAATGAAAAACATTGAAAGATCTACAATGAAACAAACATTTTCAGAACCTCAGAAATTGCTAGTAAATTTCACAAACGGTTACAAAGAAAAAGAAATTGAGTAGAAAAACACATTTTCTTGTCAAACGTACTTCAGGATTTTTTTTTTACAACTTTGAAAAAAAAAATCCATGTAGTTTAAATGGAAGGAAGATTAGCACGTTTAAGTCATTAAATAGCTTTACATGGTGCATTCCATTTTTAAAATTAAAAAAAATAAATAATAATTTATGCTTATTTTCAGTAGCTATATGAAAATGTATTTGTACTTGTTGATTAATCATCAGTGTTACAGCAAAAGAAACTACATTTTATGTTTTCAGTGTAGGTTTGCTGTCTGTATTGAATGTTACAATATTTTAAATTGAGTTGTCCTTGTTAGATGCATGCCAAAAACAATTCTTTTTATGAGTTGATTCTTTTTAAATAATAATTCACAAACATGGCATACATTTATAAAGTTACCAGTTTGAGTAGGTCTGAATCAGTGCCCGCTATAATTTACAGCATTAGCAGAGAGAATGTTTAATTGATACAATACTGTTCTATATATATTGAGAGAGAGAGAGAGATTTAACATTTTCCACAAAAATATTGAGCAAATCAGCATATTAAAAAGATTTCTAAAAGATCATGTGACACTGACACCTGGAGTAATGGTTGCTGGTAATTTAGCTTTGCCATTACAGGAATAAATTCCAAGTTAAAATATTATGAAATAGAATTTTTAGAATTTCTTTTTAAATCCCAAATGAATCAGATAGCAGAATTCTGTACTCAGCCCTAAAGTACAAAGACCAGAGGTAGCTTTAAGATATTGGATCCTCTTTGTTATCTGAAACTCCTTTCCTCCAAGCCCCCCCCTTTTTCCTCAACCGTTCTGAATGAATGACACCTCACGGATACACAGAGAGAGCCCCATTGTGAGGGTTATTCAGGGGTGAGTGGACTGGAGAGGGTTCAGTGCATCTTAATGGACATTGTTCAATTGTCTGATCTTCTCCTTTTAAACGTGGAAGAGCGGCACAGCCGTCAGGTTTGGATGTGGACGAGTTTAGCGTGAGAATATTGTAAAAAGGGGATTTAGCCTAAATTCAGCAGCTGAGCTCAGGCACCTTTTTTAGTAACCTTAGCTGTTAACACACTTAGGATTTTATAATCCCCTGTGACATTTGGATTGGCACTTTTTAAAAACCTTATACACCTACTGTTCAAGTTTTGGGTGAGTTTTCTTTCTTTTCTTCTTCTTTTTGAGAGGAATGGCTATTTTTATTCAGTAAAGACACATTCAATTGATAAAGTGACAGGAAAGACATTTATAATGTTACAAAAGTTTTTAATTTAAAGTTAATGTTGTTCTTTTGAACTTTCATCAAAACAATTCATAGAACAATTCTTAAAAAAAATACGTATCAGCTTCCACAAAACTCTTAAGCAGCAAAAATGTTCAATATAAATAATAGGAATAAAGGTTTTTACAGCCCCAAATTAGCATATTAGTATGATTGCTGAGGTACCATGTGACACTGAAGACTGGACTAATGGCTGCTAAAAATTCAACTTTGTCATCTTTCTGAAGATTTTATTAAAGGGATAGTTCACCCAAAAGTGAAAATTCTGTCATTAATTACTCACCCTCATGTGGTTCCAGACCCGTAAGACCTTCGTTCATCTTTGGAACACAAATTAAGATTTTTGATAAGATCCAAGAGCTTTCTGACCCTGCATAGACAGCAACACAACTGACACATTTAAGGCCCAGAAAGGTAGTAAGGACATTAGTAAAATAGTCCATGTGACATCAGTGGTTCAACCGTAATTTTATGAAGCTAAGAGAATACTTTTTGTGCACAAAGAAAACAAAAATCATGGTACTCTTCTGAACGCACAAAGACTGACATAGAAGAGAAGAATTTTGCCAAACAAAAAGAATTCTCGTAGCTTCATAAAATTGTTGTACCGGTGATTTCACATGGACTATTTTAATGATGTCCTTACTACCTTTCTGGGCCTTGAACGTGTCAGTTGTGTTGCTGTCTATGCAGGGTTAGATAGCTCTCAGATTTCTTAAAAAAATATCTTAATTTGTGTTCCAAAGATGAATGGTCTTAAGGGGTTTCAAACGACATGAGGGTGAGTATATATGACAGAGTTTTCATTTTTGGGTGAACTATCCCTTCAATGTAATTGATCTACACATATAAAACAGCATACATCATAATAATTGTAAGAAAGCATGCACTCAGTCTTATGTTTGTAAGTAATCATTGATTTTCTTTCAGATACTGGTTGACCAATCATGTCCAGATCAAAAGACCCACCACTGGACTCCTGATGTACACCATGGCCACACGCTTTTGTGATGAGATCCACTTGTACGGCTTCTGGCCTTTCGCTCATGATCCTGACGGCAAACCGGTCAAGTACCACTACTACGACACGCTAACTTACCACTACACATCCAGTGCCAGTCCACACACAATGCCTTTGGAATTTAGAACTTTAAGTGCTCTTCACAGACAGGGGGCGCTGCAGCTGCACACGGGACCGTGCAAACTTCCAACATGAGCGTTAGCAGCCTCATTCCAAATGGTTTCATACACTGGATCTTAGAGATGCTGTGGAAAATATAGATTACCTGAATACTTTAGGTACATTTCTGACCAAATGTGAGAATGCAATATGAACACGGGGTAGGTTCATATGTTCAACCTTAAGAAGGTGTTTAATATCTAATTAAGGCTATTTTATAAAAAGTTCCTTGCCATTGTTTTATTTGTTCTTATCCCATGTTTTTTAAAATGTTTCTTTAAGTGTCTTATTTGTTCAGATTTTATGCCATATTTGGCCACAAGGTGATATGAGAGGATAAAATGAGAGGCTCTTTTTGTCTTTAGTCTTAGCTTTTTGAGACAATTTGTGTATAAAAAAGAAAGTCTAAATTAAGAATGTCATTTATCTGTTGCCTTTACGGTCTATGTGTCTGTTGAGCCCACAGACAGCATGACTGAATGTAGGACTATTGTCAGTTTTTACATTTAACATGATACAGTTTAGACTTAGAATTAAAATTTTAAATGGTTTAAAGGGGTTTTACCACTATGTTGCTACATGCGTTCTTCTAGACGATATTTTGGACAATAATTTAGTGCCTCAAGTAGGAGATGATGTTATGCTGCATCATGTGACTCTTGATAAAGTTGCCTTAGAAAGACAAAGTGAGTAGTGTTGTGACTTTTAGCAGGCGTTAAAACTTTTGCATCAATGTGCAGTAATACTTGTGGAACATGTGAACTGCGACTGTCTGAACACTCTGGTGTAGTTGAGCATGTTTGCACAGTGAGGCAGCTATCAGAGCATGTGCAGCCCCACGCTGAGATACTGTAGCCAAATCCAGTACACACCCAGCTGTTCACACACTCATGTGTACTCAAGGATGGTCGAGCGTGAAGGGATGTTCAGTGTGTAAACTTTGGAATTGGTTAAAGCCACATAGTAGCGGTGTTTCTGTATCTAAGGGTTTTTGGATTTCTTTTGTATGTGACACATATTACATGTTTAAGTGAATGTATTTGTGATAACTTCTAAGTAAAGAACATACTGCTGTACTCATCTGCCCAGTGTGATAACAGGGTCAATGACATAACACAATGTTTTTTTTTTTATTCATGCATACACTGTAAAAAAAAAAAAAAGTTTCAAGCTGTTCCAACTAATTATTATTTAGTAACATTCAGTCGATTTCTGATTTCAAAGTGTTATCTCAATTGTTAGTTTTTAGTTGGCTCAACCTTTACTGAACTAGTTTTATAGTCCATTCAGCTAAAATGTTTTAATTGGTCAAACATTTAGAAAACTACAGCAAGTTATGTCAATTAAAATCTAACCACTTACTCCATGTGTTTATACCTCAACTAAGATTTATTATTTGGGCATCATAAGAAATTGCTTGGGAACTAGTTGTTACATTTCATATATTTTTATAGTTTGACAAAATTATTAAAAATGATTAACTGATGTTTATCAATCACTAAAAACACACATTACAACACGTTATAGCCTTTATTTAATAACAATCTCCATTTGTAACATTTTTCATACAGACTAATCATACTCAATAAACATGCTAATAAAAGTTTGGAGGCTTACCAATGCTGCATTTAAATAAAAAATACAGTAAAAGTAATATTATAAAATATTACAATTTCAGTTAATTGTTCTAGTTTAATATATGCTAAAATTATGCTAATTTTTCAGGATTTTTAAATATATATATATAGCTCAAAAGAACAACATTAATATTTTGCAACAATGTAAAAGTTTTTACTCTCACTTTTGGTCAAATTCATGCATTCATTATTATTTTTTTATACATTTTTTTGGAATGGTAAAAATGGAACGGTAGTGTACATTGACTTTGAAATTGATATTTTTGGGGGCCATAAAGTAAAAATGTCAGGGCAATGCAGAAATAAATTAATAAAAGCAACAACATTTCTTTAAAAAAAACTACTTTACAAAATTACTTCATTGCTTATTAATATTTTTTAAAACTTAAAATTGATAAAAAGTAATGTGGTGTGACACATCCAGAAACAAACAGAAGAAGAAAAAGAAACAGGAAATGATATCACCGAAAGAACCCCTGCAGACCCTTATGACTGTATTAAGGTCAACAAGTATCAGATTAATTTTCATTTAGAATGAGACAAATTAATTTGATATTTTTACACAATGCAAGGTTATTTCAGGTTGTAAAATGTGATGCGACTCCCCAAAAAGGTCAAATGTAATGTAAAAACCAATGATATTTGTAAGCAATACTTTTAACCTTTATAAAATATTTAAATTTCTTTCATTTCGATGTGAACATGTAATCAAGAAAAATATAACTTTTTTTATTTAATGGTTATATCACGTCATGACTCTAGACATAAATAAATTTAGTGTTTAACTTCTTGAAAATAGATAGATCTTTAAAAAATATTTTTAAAGGGTTATTTTATTTTGGACACAAACAAAAAAACATTTTTTAAATAGCTGAGTGACAAATTTCATTACATTTGCTTTGAGGTCTAATAAAAGGATGTTTTCCTAGAAGTTGCTTGCTAGAGGTTTTCTGGAGACAGTTAATCCAAATTAGTGAAATGTTTGGAATATTTTTCTGCATAAACACAATCCCAGCGAGGAGCTTCTCATGTGTTTTGAACCATGTGATCTGTCGTGTTTTTGACATTGAGCATTCGCAGCACTACATGTTGCTCTTATGTCTCCAGTTAAGTTAAAAATAGATAATTGTCTCACCGCAGACGTCAGCAGGCCATCCGACATAATGAACGCATTTATCCGTAAAAGCACCCCTGTGTTTTGAAAAAAATAGAAACGGTCTGTAACCAATATGGCTAAATGTAATTACACCGCAACTGACTGCCAGTCACAGCTTGGAGGACGTTTGGAAGAGATGTCCACGTTTCCTGCTTTCAGGATGTGTTAATGATTACCACAGTGTCTGGTTTTACACAATGCAAGGTTATTTCAGGTTGTAAAATGTGATGCGACTCCCCAAAAAGGTCAAATGTAATGTAAAAACCAATGATATTTGTAAGCAATACTTTTAACCTTTATAAAATATTTAAATTTCTTTCATTTCGATGTGAACATGTAATCAAGAAAAATATAACTTTTTTTATTTAATGGTTATATCACGTCATGACTCTAGACATAAATAAATTTAGTGTTTAACTTCTTGAAAATAGATAGATCTTTAAAAAATATTTTTAAAGGGTTATTTTATTTTGGACACAAACAAAAAAAACATTTTTTAAATAGCTGAGTGACAAATTTCATTACATTTGCTTTGAGGTCTAATAAAAGGATGTTTTCCTAGAAGTTGTTTGCTAGAGGTTTTCTGGAGACAGTTAATCCAAATTAGTGAAATGTTTGGAATATTTTTCTGCATAAACACAATCCCAGCGAGGAGCTTCTCATGTGTTTTGAACCATGTGATCTATCGTGTTTTTGACATTGAGCATTCGCAGCACTACATGTTGCTCTTATGTCTCCAGTTAAGTTAAAAATAGATAATTGTCTCACCGCAGACGTCAGCAGGCCATCCGACATAATGAACGCATTTATCCGTAAAAGCACCCCTGTGTTTTGAAAAAAATAGAAACGGTCTGTAACCAATATGGCTAAATGTAATTACACCGCAACTGACTGCCAGTCACAGCTTGGAGGACGTTTGGAAGAGATGTCCACGTTTCCTGCTTTCAGGATGTGTTAATGATTACCACAGTGTCTGGTTTTTGAGGAGAAATGGGGATCCTTTTGTTTTTACTGAATGACCTGTGTGGTTAGGGGACCCTATAACTTTACACCCAAAATAGCCCAGATGTTTGGGGAGATGAGAGCTTCTTTGTCTTCATTGTATGGTAAAACTGTAACAGGCTGTGTAAAATTCTTTAGATCTAAATGCATATTTTAAGTTGGATGATGGATCTCTGAGCTAAGCCAATGCACTAAAGTCATGCTGTTATACTTTAAACTTTAAAAGAATAGTTCACCCAATAAAAATGAAAAATTTGCTGCACATTTACCGTTAAAGATGTAGATGAGTTTGTTTCTTCATCAGAACAGATTTGGAGAAACTTAGCATCACATCACTTGCTCACCAATGTTTCCTCTGCAGTGAATGGGTGCCGTTAGATTCAGAGACCAAACAGCGGATAAAAACATCACAATAATCCACAAGCAATCCGTATTTTGGCCACAAGCGATGGCTTAAAGTTATAACACCTTAATGAATGGATTTGTTTTTTTACAAACACAGCTTTTCATTTCACAAGATGTTAATTGATAAACTGAAGTCGTGTGGATTATTCTAATGTTTTTATCAACTCTTATTCTGACGGCACCCATTCACTGCAGAGGATCCATAGGTAGACAACTGATGTGAATTTCTTCAAATCTGCACTGATTAAGAAACAAACTAATCTACATCTTAGATGGCCTTATTTGCAGCAATTTTTCGTTTGTACACTCTTAAAAATAAAGGTGCTTCACGATGCCATAGAAGAACCTTTTTGTCTAAATGGTTCCATAAAGAACCTTTAACATCTGAAGAACCTTTCTGTGTCACAACAGGTTCTTTGTGGAGAAAGAAGGTTCTTTAGATTATAAAAAGGTAAGAAAGAGATGGTTCTTTAACAAACCTTTGACTGAATGGTTCTTTGTGGGACCAAAAATGGTTCTTCTATGGCATCGCTGTGAAGAACCTTTTAAGCACCTTTATTTTTAAGAGTGTAGGTGAACTATTCCTTTAATAAAGTATTATAGAGTTTAAATAAAGAGAGAAACGGGAACTGAGAAAACAGGAGATGCCACAAAATGGATCCAGTCTGAGAAAAGCTAAATCGTTTATGATCTGTGAGCCACTTAACAGCATTTTAGCCTATGTTTTCTGAGAAGTATGTGGTGTGATGTCTTGTCAGGCAAATTTCTGGAAATGTGGCGTGTTTTAAAGACTTGTGGGTGACCGACGCGTGAGGAGTAGCTGTAGCCATAGAATGACTCAGCTCAGCCAAAATTTGTTTTAAAAGACTTTATCACAGGAAAAATACTTTTAAAAAGCCTTTCATGTCAGGCAAAAAGAGAATTTACAATATTCTGTGGTGCTTCACAACTTAAGGATGGAAGGCTCATTTAACACCAAAATTCCACATAAAGCTTCAAATGCATTTTTAAAGCCAGAATTGTGTCGTGTGGAACAAAATGTGTCTGCCTTCTGCAAGTAATGAAGTGGCATGTATCCATGTGATTAAGTGAAACATACTCTCTCAGCAAAACTCTCCACAAAAAAAAAACATGATTCTAAGTTATATCTC